GACTGCTCGCCCTCCTCCTGCCGCCTTGGCGCCCTGCCCGCGACAGCGGGGAACCGGGACATAGACCTGGCCCGGAGCGGAGGTGAGCACGTCCACCGAACCGGGGATATGGGCGGGGAAAGGCGAAGACGCGCCCTGATGACGTCGAGGTGTTTACTTCCGCGCGTTCGACTCGAGGCGAGGGGCGGGGGAGCTGTTCAATGACGTATAGCACGGCGGCGGGAAAGCACCGCGGCCACGAGCTGAGGGCCCACCCCCAGGGGTTTCCCGCCATCTGCTGGTGTGCCGATTTGGGATGGCGACGAAGCCATCCCAAAGAGGAGTATGGAAGGGCCTCCTCCTATTTGAACTCTTGTACGCAAAAGAGCCAGGCGACACCCTTTTTCTCAGCACAGTGGTCACAGCACACCTATTCTACCTTCACACGCATCTAACGTGACGTGACCCTTTGCCAAGAGCGGGAACCTTCCCAGAGTGCAACGTTCTACAAAGTTCTCGCCTTGCTCGTTCTAAAATAACCTGATCAAGGTACACAGCTATAGAATCACAGAGTTTCTAGTCTTGTGTGCAAAACTTAGGTCCCCTACGCCGTTCATTTTTTTTCATAGGACCCTGCATTTTAATTTATTTTCATGTTTATTTTCTTCTCCTATTCCTCCAAGTGGACACGAGGGCAGGTGGGAACTTTAGAAAACCATGGTATACTCAGAGCCCAGCAAAGCCATTCAAAGTGGGCCGTCAATATTTGTTGAATTTGCTGGGTGGATGAATGAAGTCTTGGTTTCCAGAGGGATTAAGTTCTCTTTCAATGGATGTAGATTGCTCGGAAATCACAAGAACTGAAAAATTAAATAGATATACAACCATTAGAGATAGGGCTACTTTTCAGAAAAGGTACTTTGGGGAGCAGATCTTTCTGTTATGGAACTTTACAGTTTTGTGAATAGTGTAACAAAATCGATGCAAGAAGACTGACTGTTTCTTGGACTTTTCAACTATTTCTGCTGTTGGAACTAACCAACACCGCCAAAGAAGACAACTCAAACTTGTCTTTTTGCCATTAATTAAGGGCCATTACTCTCCTATCTGACCAGGCTTCAAAAAAATGACATTGGACCCCAAGATTTTTCTGTGCTCATTAAAGATTAACTTATACCAACTCCTTTTAAAAGGTACCAATTATGTAATAACTATGTATGGTGTCAGGTGGGTACTAGACTTAAGGAGGATCGCTTTGTAAGTCGTATAAATGTCTAACCACTATGCTACACACCTGAAACCAATAGTGAATGTCAACTGTAATTGAAATATTTTTAAAAATTTAAAGATCTTTGCCAAAAAATACGTAAATGAATGAATGTTCCAATAAACTAAACTTATAGAGGTAAAAACACAAAGGGACTAATTAACATCTCCTAAAATGCAAGTTTGTCAAATTTTTTTGTTTGTCAAATTTTGAATGACACCGAATTAAGTGCAACTTACTAACAACTTTATATCTTCAAAACCTGTGTTCTACAGAAATAAATCTGTTAATAGGAAAACATCCCATATTTCTCTCATCCATTAAGGGACTCTCCCAACCTTCTGGATTCTGTTAGAAATTCAAAATATTACAAATCAGAAAAAGCAAAAATACATTTGTATTATAGGCAAGGTAATGTTGAGTACGGGGCAAGGTATGTCAGTATAGGGCAGCTATATCAGTGACATAATAAAGTCACTTTCTGGGAATGGCAGAATCATTTTAGACCAATGATAGTTACCACTTATTGAGCACTTTGTACTCAAACATTTAATATACATCTTTTTCATTTATTCCTCACAAAAACCTAGAGACGTAGGTGGTTATTATTCCTGATTTTCACATGTGAGAATCAAGGCTCACATGCTTACCTGAGATAAAAAGACCAGAGTTCAAGCCACACTAAAAACCACTATACTGTGATGGGAGACGGAATTATCTAAGTCTTTGTGCCTAAAATAGTATTTTCTCCCAATCTTGGTTAATCAACTATTATAGAATGACCCCATTCTTGTTTAAGAACTATTTAATGAGAGTATCCAGAACTAAACCTGCAAACCAAAAATGAAAAAAAAAAAAAAATGAAAAACTTAAATGTTTAACATTGTTGATTTTAAAACCAAGGACATTTAAAACATGTTACCATTAATAACTATGTGCTGCAGGGCTATTCCTAACTAAAAGATCAACAATTATTTCCTGCCCAGTGAGTTTACAAATTACAAAGGCAAACAAGATACAAATATAGAGTGAAAATAGAAAAAACACGAGTTGAATTTGAGAAGAAAGGTCGTCGTTTCCAACAACATTGAATCGATTTCCTGTTTTCTTTTTGTAAGAAGAAAAAGCTGAAAAAAATTATATGTAAAGAAGTACGAGATGTATGAACTGCACCTTGCTCCTATTACTTTATAAGTAGTCTTTCAAGGACATTTTTCAAATGTCCTTGAATCCAAGTGATCTGTTTTTGAGCATCCAAAACACTGGAAGGAGGCTCAATATTAAAGATCGATAAAAATGGAAACAAATGTTTGTTTGTTTGTTTGTTTGTTTGTTTTTCCACTGTGGCCCCCAGCCTGTGCGATTAGAATTTCCCAGAGCCAATAGCATCTTTGTGTTCTCCCGGGTGAGACCTCCCGAGCTGACCAACACATCCAGTAACTGTGCCTTTGGCTGGGTTCTTTTGACTCAGGTAGGCCCAGCTGCCGTGTTCTCACAGGAGAGGCTAGAGTGGTAGGTGCATCTTCCTGTGTTAGCTCCCACGCTCAGACGTGCTGGTGTGCAGTTTGGGAGTTTTTTTGTTGCATTTTAGATGTTTAGCTAATTGTTGTTTTCAGGGGGAGAGATCTGGGGACGTCTCTCACTCCGCCATGTCTCTGACGTCACTCTCCAGAAACGAATTTTTAAATCCAGGAAAGAAGGAGAGCATAGAACCACTGTTACAATTTAAGATAAATAACTAGAGTGAAAGGAAAATTATCCAAGAGTTTAATATAATAAAATCCAGAAAGTTAAAAATGTTAGATAAGTGGCAATATGTAGAAAGTTAATCATAACAGGAAGTCACAGAGAGTGAGTGATGGTATCAAAGTATATGAATTTTTTTAAATAAATGAAGTTGACCAAAACAATAGTTATCTTGATAAAGTAATCAGAGAGAAGCCATATTATAAATAAAAGAGAAGAAAATTAGAGAGCAAATTGAAAATGTACTTAATGCATTTGGAGACATCCGGTTACAATCAACTAAGGTAAATGAAAGGAAGAGAAGAATAGCAAGAAAAACATGCCACTGCACAACTTATGACCCATTTGCCATTTAGCAGTCCTGATACATGTAGGCCTGGCAAGAAAGGAAGGGAAGCTTATACATTCTGGAGAGAATGGAAGCAGGAAGAGGAACCTCAGTCCCTAAACCAAATGAAACTAGACAGAAGCAATTGGGAATTTTTCTCAGTGAAGTGGTGTTGGACTCCATGCCACCGTCATATATTCTGTTAACATGCTTCTGAGATATTAGCAATTTGGAAATCTGGAGGAAAAGAATTAGATAGTCATATAACAGAGCTGAGAGAAGTGTTCACCTTTCAGACCAAAAGTAAAAGACGTCATTATTACACTTTCATCTCTTTCTTTTTAATCTTATGTTTCAGGTGTCCAAATACTAAGATTTGAGTTTGTATCACAGGGTCAGTCACCAAACAGTCATTTCATTCATCAATGATATAATTTAATTGAAAGGTTAGTAAATATTGAGACACTTCTAGCCATTGTCAGTGAAAATTGATGCTTTACACATATGCATATGATCTTGAATAAATGTGTGGAATTTCCATTATTCTATTAGTAAAACAGTCGCTTTCAAATGAAGGCTCAATGATTAATTTCCTACTCATTTATTCATGTATTCTCTCAGTATTAGACTGCACCGTTCTTATATGCACCCTTTTAAATAGCCATACAAAGACATAAAAATATGTGTAAGATAATCACTGCCTTCAATGGCATTATATGTATTTAAAGGGATAAAATATTTAGAGGAGGAAAAACTAGCTAGAGTGATCAGAGAAGGCATTTAAACTGAGCTTTGAAAGTTGGGAAGATTCCCATAAATGCCAGAGAATGATTCTAAATAGAGGAAATCTCACAAAGGCACTAATAGAGTGGTCAAGATATTGTTAATTAGAGATTATTGAGAAATCTGCAAAATTAATGTTCTACCTCTGGTGATGGTCTCTGTAAATCTTTCACTTGCCTGAAGGTGGCAAGCTGGCTTTATTTGAGAAACTTCAGCATCAACATTATTTGAAAAAAAATGACACAGTACTATTTCTCTGGAAAAAAAAAACAACTTTCATTGCCATTTAACTCATAAAATCAAAAAGTGAAAAAGACAAAATATTCCTAAAAATTACTAACATAATCATTTAAATACTGCACATATTTAATATTACCCATTTTAAGGCACATAGATTTTGTGTTACAAATATTTTTCATTTTAATATTTAAATTTTTACTGTCCTTATTGATTTCTCAGTTATGATAAAATTTTTTCATTAGAGAAAAATAGGAGAAAAGAAGGAGCTTATACTTTTAAATATTATTAAAATCTGTGCTAAGCATTGGTTATAAGCCTTTTGTGAGGTGGTCAGGTTTATTGAGGCATAATTTCCAAATGGTAAAATTCATCCTTTTTAGTGTATAGTTGTGAGTTTTGTGTGAATTTTGACAAATGCATATGGAATGTAACCACCACTATAATAAAAAATATAAAACAGTTTTATCACTCTAACAAATTCCCTTGTGCTGCTTTATGGTCAACCCCTTCCTTCAGTTCAAGGCCCTGGCAACTAGTGATATGTTTTCTGTCTCTATAGTTTTGCTTCTTCCAAAATGTAGTATGAATAGAATCATATAATATGTACTCTTTATTGGTCTGGCCTTTTTCATTCAGTGTAATTACTTCGAGATTCATCTATTGTTGAATATAGTTGTAGTGTGTATCGATAATTCAATCCTTTTTGTTACTGAATACTATTCCACCGTATGAATGTATCACAATTTGCTTACCAGTTCCTTAATGGAGGGACTTTTATGTTGTTTCCAATT